AATCAAATGCTTTTTTCATATCTTGCATTAGAAACCATAATTCTTTTTTTTGTTCTTTGGCATCTTCTAAGATATTGTTCAATATCTAAATTGGCATATTTGTGCAATCTCCCAGCAGTCTAGCAAAGTTAAAGCTCTTGAGAATATTTTTTCTTTAATAATTCTCTCTAATCTTGTATTTACTATATGTACTATTATTTTTCTTATTGTCTCAAGCAACATAATTGGCCAAATATTATATAGATTGTAATTCTAAAACTTGCTTTTTGGTATAGAGTATAGAATACCTTTTTTTTACTCTGTGAGGATAACACTACTTCTTATACAAAGAGACACAAATTTACACATTATTCTCTTAAACTTAATTCTCATTTTCTTTAGTAAAGAGTATGTAATACTACTTGCTCTTGGTACTAAGCTATTTTAGGTTTTTTTCAGAGCATTGTGCCATTCTAGATCATCTATATCTTTATCAAGTTCTTCATACCAGCTTTCTTCTATATTATCTATTGGACTATAGCTATTTCTCCATCTTGTATTCATGTTTTTTGCTTTAATTTTACACTTTTGGTATTGTACTTGAAAGTGTTCTGCTACTTTCTCTTTTACTTCTTTCTCATTGTTGATTAGTTTTTCTACTTTATTCTTGACAACTACTACTCTATTAAGATAGATTCTGTTACCTTGCTTGTCTAGTAAGCTTTGAATCATTCACTTTTGGTCTGCAACTATCATCTCTCCTCTTTCTTCTATATATTTTTTAATTTCATTTTTTTGTAGCTTCTTGCCCAAACTTTGTTTTCTGTTTTCCAAAGTTCATTTAATCTTATATACAATTTTTTGGACCATATTGCTTCTATCTCAAAAGAAATATTTTTGATATTTTGAGCAACTTGCTAATTTTATCTTTATCTTGTAATCCAATTTGCTTATTTGTACTTTGTTTGCATTTTCTGCAAAGTTTACTAATTATTCTAACTTTTCTTCTAGCATCTTGGAGCTTAGAGCTAGGTGCATACTTTAGTAAAGCTTTTTTATTTTGCTTTTTTGAAAGATATTTTTTTGCTGCTTGTATAATACACTCTTTAATTATGCTCCATCTCTGGTTTAGTTCTTCACAAGATATTATTTCTTTATTTGCTTTCTTGCTTTTTGGTGCTGGCTATCTCTTTCTCAACTCTCTATCTAGAAATTGTTTGTATTTTAGCCAGTCCTTATTTTTAGTATTTTTTAGATCAAAAGTTAATATTTTAGATTTTGCTCTTTTACTCTTTGCCTTATTGCTTATCTGAAGCCTAAATTCATGATAATACTTGCTTGAAGCATTATATAGTTACTTGCTGTTATATTGTTTATATTTACAATATTTATTTTTAGTATATTGTCTTTATTTTCTTGTGATATCCAAATATAGTCTATTCATGTTTTAAATTCCCAACTCCTCTAAGTGTATCCTGGGTCTTTAGAGTTTACTCACCTGTATACATCTATAAGACCTTTTACTTTTAAAAGAGAAAAAAGTTTATTTATACTATTATCTCTTTTTGCTTCACCTTTGTGTATTACTGCTTCCTCATATTGTTTAGCATTAAAATCTCCAATAATTATAAATTTATGTTCTTTTTTGTATTCTTTATCAAGTTTACATCTTATAAATATTTGAAGCTTTCTTTTTATCTGTTGATCATTTGGTGAAAAATATATCACAATAATGCTATAATCTACTCTTTTAAACATTAATACCAATTCTAGCCCATAAGTATCTATTTTTTTTACTCTAGCAATATATCTCGCCCAGTTTTTATTGATTAGTAGTCCTACACCAAAACCTTTTTTTTTCTCATCTTTATTTTTTGTCCAAAAGCTAATCATCCCACTCTCATACTTAGTAAGCCAAGTTACCTTTTTTTCTACAATATTTGGTTTGCAAATTTTTAAAATATTTATTCTTTTCTCTATTACGTAATCTATAAGAGCTTCCAATTTTGTTTTGTTGCTTTTGATGCCATTAATAGTATGAAACCCAATATTTAAAATGTTTAGATTTTTTAGATTTACATTTTTGCATCTGGGGTCTCTTCTTCTAATATTTTGTACAAGCCTGATCCTTGATCCTTGATTCAACCAAAACACCTTTAGGAGCTATATGCTATGTCTTAATCTTTGTCTTTTATTTAATTTTCTAGGTTAGATAATCTGCTTAAAATTTGGTCAAGCATTGTCTCTATCTTATTATTCTTATTTTGAAAGCAAGTTTTGCTATTCTTCTGTTTTTTAGCTTCGTGGACTTTAGATTTAGGTTTTTTATATTCCGGCTTCATGTTTTTATTAAGTACTCACAAATATTTTTATACTTTTTTGATTTTAACTCTCAGTCTATTCCTGTAATTCTATAGCCTTATATAAGCTACTTGTCTCTCTATTTTTCAAGGAGCTATTTGTTGCTATTGCCTTGTTTTTAGACTCAATTCTTTGGAAATTTTGTATGTCTGGAACATCTTCTTTATATTTGGATACTCACTCTAGTTTTGAATTATAGTAATATACTATGTCCATTTGTACTTCTCGCATATCTACTTTATTTTTGAAATAGATGCTAGCTGTTTGTCTCTGATTGCTATTTCTGTTTTTGGATATGTAAACAGCTTTGGCCTTAGTTTTTTTTAGTTGTCTTAGCATAGTCATTTCTATTGCTATTTTTGATACTCTTTTTAGCAAAACCTTGAACTTGCTTCTTTCTTGAAGTGTTTCTCTATTAAACTTGTTTTGTGTGACTCTAAACATTCTCTCTTCAGATAGTGAATGGCCCATGCTGATTGTAGAGCTGCTTTTTTCTTATTAGCTTTTGGAATTATTGATATACAGTATATACAGCTTTGCTTTTATCTTCTGCTTTAAAGTCTATTATTGTAGCTTTTCCATAAAAGCTGAGGCATTTTATAATATGTTTTACACTAGCTTCAACAGGTATATTCCATAGCATGATGTTAATTTTGTTGGGTCTTTTATTTTCTTTTCTGCTTGTCTTTTCATTACTATGGGTACTTATATTGACTTATATATATTATTCCTTTCTTTAGAAGTATTCTTATATTAAAAAGTATTATACTTAGATATTTGTTTTTTAAGAGTCTCTGTTTTGATATTTTCTTCAGACAGTTTATTTGTAGTATTTATACTACTTTCTAAAGTCTCAGTACTCTGAATACTAATTTTTATGATATTTTGATTATCTGTAAGTTCAAATTTTTTTTTTTCTTTTTCTATAAGAGCTCTTTTGCAAGTTTCTTCTACTTCGTAATCAAATTGTTTACACTCTTGCATGATTAAGCAGTCTATTAAATCTTCATTACCTTTGCTTTTTGTTGTATTAATTTTACTATTACTGTTAATACTATTTTTGCTATCTCTTACCTTATGTATTCATAGTATTGATATATCTCTATAATATTTCTGAACAGACTTAGCACTTCAGAAGCTACTCCTGTCAATATTGCTAATTCTCTGTCTATTCTTAGAATCTCTACTTTGTGAACTTCTTTTATGAGCCTAAATTTCTCTTCAGATTTTGTGAAGATTTTTTTATATTTGTCTAACTTTTCATACCAGTTTATATCTGTAAACACTTTTTAAACATCTTGTACTACTCTTGATTGCATAATGATTTTGAATGCTATTGTATATTTTTAATCTGTGCAGTACAACTCTATGTCTTATTTATGTGATTGTTTATTTGTTTGTGTGTTTATGTATCACATGCTTAGTGTGTTTATTTTTGCACCAAATTTGGATGTGTACTTGTTTGTTTACTAGTTTCAGTTTGGTAATATAAACAGATCGATATTACAGGGTCAAGCTAAATCTCAAAAAAGTGCTAAAAATTCATAAAATTATTGTTCATCTTTTAGAAGATAGCACTGTTTTGTATTTTTCTTTTTATCTATAAGCTTGACATGATTATTTTTCTAATTTGGTGTAGTTAGTTTTAGTTCTTCTATCATTTTCCTTAAAGTTGTTTGTATAGTTTCTTAGTCTTAATTAGTGTTAACTTGCTAGTTTTCTTCTCAACCAAATTTGGTATGGAGGATCAATGGAAAGAGTGTATGTATCAATTTTATTTTTCCTTAATAAAAATTTAAGATTAATAATATTTTACATAATTTTATTAATAAAATTATAAAAAATCATATAATCCTCAAAAGCTTACTAATTAATTATATCTTTATGTTCTAAGTAAACTTGTTCTATATATAAAACTATACTATATCAGCATATGCTTGCATTATAATTTTAAATTTTAAGAAAAATATTATTAATTTTGAAAATTTTGATCAAAAATTCAAAATTAAGCATATTTTTCTTAAATTTTATAAATATAATGTTAATGTATACTAATATAATGTATTTTTATGCGTAGAACAAGTTTACTTGGAGCATAAATATTGTTACTAGAGAAAAGTGGTTTTTAAGAGTCTACAAAACTAACCAAACAAACCAATACAACTAAGATAACCTGTCGAAAGAAATGCGTAGATTTAGGCGAGTGAAGTGGTTCTTAGGCTTCAGTAATCTTATCCGATATCATGTGTTGATCACCTAATGCACCGATACTCAAATACTAAAACAAACACGCAAGGAAAACAGATATCCACAATATGTCAGGATATAACTTCAAGAATTAGACAACAATAAAACAATTGGTACAATAATAGTATAGAATACTTTGACTTAATGGAGTTATTTTTAGTAAAGGAATAAACTTTGAGCAGCGTAATAGTACGTTTAGAATAAACTGTAATAACGGTTAGTTGATCAAGAGTCACAATTAAAAATTAGGATACATTTTACAAGAGATAATAGACAAGCCAAAGGGCGCTTGTTTAATTTTAAAAAACAGTTATTTGTATCATAAAAATGATAATACTCTAAAGGTGTGAATCCACCCTTTATTTATAATGAAATAATACACATTTAAGAACTAATAATATTAACAAAAACACCCACAATGCTTTTAATTTTCTTTCTATCATTATTAACAAAATACTCTATACCACCAAAATTATAGTTATAGTTATTATTGCTATTTTCATGAGTACTCACAGTAAAGCCAGAATCATTAACAATGGAGACACCAACAAAACTAGTAGAACTGTCAGTACTTTGATTACTAGTACGGGACTCAAATAAATCAAAGATTAACAACATCAAAGTTGCTTCAGCGATGACTTCAATATATGATCAGTGAAATTTGCCAGAAGGCAAATTTTCCAGATTACGATTCTCTCCCACTTAGTTGTGAGTTCTATGAACTATCAACAAATATTTAGAAGTCTTCAATCTTTATTTTGCTGATATTATAGAAAGACAACTTCTGGGTATGATAAATTTGCTCAACCCTATACTTGAAAAAAATGTTGTATACCCGTATAGAGGTGTAATAGTAATACTCTAAAGTTAAAGATTTCAAAGAATGCTGGTTTTTTTTCAGGGTAGTGGCAAAAATCATTCCCAAATAATACCTATAGATCAAAAATTTTTGTCTATTCTGAGATTATTGGGCTGCTTTTATATGATTGAGCACCAATTTAATACAGGTACTTGGGTCGGCAATTGTGCAGTCAAAAGAAGGGAGGCAGAGACAACATCAGCAGAGAATAATCTAGTCAAGTTATTATAGATCTCTATAAATGTAACCATTATGCTTTAAGTTTTTATTTTTTTCTCTTTTGTTTTTTTTTTCTCTATATATATATAAAAGTAAACTTTCTTTTCTTTCTCTCATGCCTTTACTCTTAAAGCATCATATGTTCTACTCTTTCTCAGCACTTCTAATCCTAACTACTTAAATGTCCTTTTATTTCAAGTGTTAATTGACGATCATTGTGCCTTTTAATTAGCCCTGTACTAATAGGGGTAGATATGACTTGCCCTTCCATAGTATGTAACTTCACTACATTCCAGTCAAAAACCTGATAAACAAAGTAGGGGCCTTTCCACTTCGGCTGCAGCTTTACACTACGATTATATTGTTGAGCTGCATGAAATACCAGTACTTTATTACTGATACCAAATTCAGAAGTTTTCTGAATTTTTTTATCATGAAGCTGTTTTTGTCTATGTTGCGCTTTTTGTACTTATATAACAGTGGTTGATGAATCATTGGCAGGATTTCAACTAGCCCACAAACTCTTTGAATAATATTTTCCTCGGCCATATCTTCATTTTCTACTAGTTGAATAGGCTGCCTAGCATCATAGTCATACGTTAAATAAAATGGTGTGATTCTCATTGTAGAATGCCTTGCAGTACAGTAGATGAACAATATTGAGAGAATAATGATATCCCAATCTACAACATTATCAACACTCTTGGAAATTGACTCACACAAAGTGTGATTGAATCATTTCACCAACCTATTAGTTTGGGAGTGATAGAGTGTTGATAAAATATGCTTAGTTTAAAATTTTTTCAGTAATTTCTGAACTAGCTTATTATAGAAATGAGTTCTACAATCTGACAAAATTATTTTAGAATACCCATGACAACAAATCACCTTATTATACAAGAAGTCTGCAACTTCCTGGGTATTCGCTACAACAATGGCCTTAGCCTCTGGCCACTTAGTCATATAATCTGTAGCCACGACTATATATCTGTTAGATCAAGAGGTTATGGGCAATGGTCCTACAATATTAATGCTGATTTGAAAGAAGAGCACCACTACCAGTATGGGGTGTAAAGAGGCAATGGATCTGGGTTTCTCTCTACTTTAATATTAATCACAGGAGTTAACATATTTTCTAATCTGATCATAGGACTGAGGCTAATAGTAGAGCTGTCTAATTTTGTTAAACATGCTTTCTATCCCCAAATATCCTCCTGGAGAATGATCATGAACTAGAAGCAAAATTGGTTCTACCTCATGAACTTAAACCACCCTTAATGTCTTATCAGAGTTTCTGCTATTGTTTCGAAATATAATACTATCTTTCAAAAAGAATGATCGACTATAGTTAATAATCCTCTTCTTATCCTTAACTGATAGATTAGGATCTATATATTAATTCTGGAGATATTGTTTCAATTGATAGTACTTTTCAAATTCCATTGTATAGTATGCCAGGATACTAACAACCTGGACTGAATTTTACTTATTGTCAAATTTTGGACTTTTAAGAGTTTGGAGAGCCTTCTTCTTTGTATATAGTCGCTTAGATACACTATGACATTGTTATTAACAATGCAAATAATATCCTTACTTATTACCATCCCCCTTCTCTCTCTTTTTTTTTTTTTTTTTTAAAAAAAATCAAATAGGGTTCCAACTTGCCCTACTTTATCCTAACTATCCATTACCAATGTTAGGTCTGCATTTAATAAACTTTTTTTTTTAAAGAAAAATTTTAGGGAAATAGCAAAAAAGATCATAGAAGAAAAATAATATTCTTGTATTATACTAGCTATAGGAAATAAATATAGAATCCTAACAATTTCTAAGGATATATATATATATTACTATTTTTTTATTTTTTTTTTTTTACCTTCTGATTTTGAGGACATTAAAGTCTGCAAATTTATATCATTATTATCCTCGTCTGTATTTTCCCACTGTAAAAAGGAGGAATAGCTTAAGTTAGAGATTCTTCAATATTTACATGTTCAGAGTCATTCTCATCCTCTGTATGCTCTACAACTTCTTCAGATATAGGAGGCCAAGGAATATTTCTTTTAGTTCTTCACTCCACTTTGGTAGTGTTGGACAAAAAGTTCTCTTCACCCTTGATGGCTCTAAAGTCATCCACCAAATACACTTCATTTTGGGATAGTGATATTTCAACAACCTCTTCTTGTTTGTGCTTTCTCTACTCACGAGAAATGCTGCTATGACCGCTCCACAGTAATCTTCTGCCCAACTCTATTTCAAAGTTATACAACACTTGTTTATACTCCTGTTCTTTTCTGTTCATATCAATCATCTCACTCTCATCTATTGCTCGTGTATTCTACTATTCTTCTTTCTGTTTCTCTACTGTCTCTTTATAATCCATTGCCTCCTCACTATCTTCATCTTCATCTTTACTTAACTGCTATCTATTTTACTGTCTTCTTCTATATATATTACCCAACTCTAAAAACTTCCATTTCCTCTATTTGCTGATTTTTTTTTTCTCCCTCAACTACTTCCAGAAGGCGGGATAAGGCATCAACATTAGAATGTACCTGATCACTCCTATGCTCAATCTTATAATTATAAGGTTGAAGCCAAAGGATCTATCTCACCTTTCTATCTTTCAATTTAGTGTTTTTAATTATTTAAGAGCTAAGTGGTTCGTAACTACTATAAAGGGCCTAAGCCCTAAATAATAGTGGAAGTACTCAATCCCCCAAATTACTGCAAAACATTCCAACTCGGTAGTAGAATAATTTTTCTCTGCTTAGCTAAAACTCCAACTAGCATAGGCAATTACATGCTCTTTATTATTATTATCTTTTTGAGATAAAACAGCCCCAAGACCTATTCCAGAAACATCAGTATATAAGTAAAAGGTCTTCTCAAAATTTGGATACTGTAAAATAGAGACCATGGTGAGGTGGCACTTCAAAGTCTCGAACATATTATGTTGAGATGCATCCCAAATATACGGAATGCCCTTTTAGAGCAATTAATATAAAGGTTGAGCAATAGAGGCAAAGTCTCTAATAAATTGTCTATAGTAAGAGAATAGATCTAAAAAACTTCTTAGCTAATTTAAAGTCTTGGGCACCAGATATTCCTAAACATTGATGATCTTTTGATCATCAGGTTTGACTCCATCCTTGCTAATCACATGCTTGAGAAATTTTAACAACTTTTTAAAAAAGTAACACTACTCACTATTTAGTCTTAGATTAGCCCTATGCAACTTAATAAATATCCTCTCAAGGTACTTCACATATTCCCAAAATGCTCTAGAATATACTGTAATATTATTTAAATATATAGCAATAAATTGTCTAATATATTTTTTTAACACGCTGTTTATCATTCGTTGAAATGTTACCGGGGTATTACAAAGGCCAAAGGGTATAATATTAAACTCATATACCCCAAACTTTGTAACAAAAACTATCTTCTCCTTATCTTGTTCGGCCATAATGACTTTCCAGTAACTGCTGGCTAGATCTAAGCTTGAGAACCAAGAGGCACTCCCAAGAGTTTCTAGCATATCATCAATTTGGGGATAGGGTAGACGTCTTTCTTCATTACTGCATTAATTTTTCTGTAGTCAATACAGACTCGGAGTTTGCTATTCTTCTTGGAAACTAATATGACAGGGGAAGACCAGGGGCTATATAATTCTCTTATTAAACTGTTGCTTAACATTTTTTTTACCTTCCCTTTTAAAAACTCCTGCTCAGAGAGTGCAATTCGGTAGGCTGCTTGCTTAATAGAAGATGCCATACTCATATCAATACATGTTAGACAATATTAGTTTGCCCCAAATCTTCCAATCCTCTAGCAATATATTCTCAAACTTGGCAAACAACCATTCTGCCTACTTTTGACCCTTATTACCTATTTCTTTTTTTTGCACTAATTTTTTAACTATATCCCTCTAAAGATCACCAGATTTAATTTTTTTCTCACTTTTCTCATAAAAGTGTTCTATTAAAACCTCCTTAATTGCTGTTATCCTGATATACCAACCTGAGAATTCATGTTCAATTCTTTATCTGAAGAAATTTCACTAGTAAAATAACTTTTAGCCTTCTCCAACAACTCATCCTCAAATTCCAACTTGTCAATGGTATCCTCACTATCACTTTTGTCATCATTAGGTCTTAAAAAATGATGCTCTTCTATATGTAATATAGTTACTTAAGTGGTCTGGCCCTGATAAGTTAGATATAACTTTTCTTTGTCAAAATGCATATGAGCTTTTGACTTCTAGAACCAATTGGTATCTAAAAGTAACATCTTATTTCTGGAGTTAATAACCTGAAGAGTTATTGGAACTAAAAGCCCTTCTACTATCATTTTTTGGTTCTTAATTTTATCTAAAGTTCACTCCTGGGCCCTGGTGGTCGTTATAACAACAGTATTAGAAAGTACTTCAACCTTAAGTCCCAATTTATCTAACAGGGCTTTGTGATCAGGCTAACAGCTGCACTAGTATCTAATATGACTACTACAAGGTTTTCTTTAATTCTCACATAACACTGGGCGCCTGTAGTCCTTAAATTTTCTTTGGGCTGTACATAATTAGTCTCTACAGAGAGCCTGGGATGCCGGTGTGCTTGAGCAAGATTATAGCATTGATTAGGATATTTTAACATTTGCTCTATAGTAATCTAGATTTAGTGTTCAACAAATCTTGAACAATATTATAGGGTTCAAGAGTATCTACCTTAGAAGGTCCTCTCTTATATCTAGGGCAAGTTGTTACTGGGTCGTCCGGGATAAATAGGTCCTTATTTATGGGTAGCAGTTCTTGAGGCAATTCTTCCTGTTTACGTCTCCTTAACCGATCTTCCCACTTTGACTCAGGTTTTCTTACTGGATGTAACTCCTTTTGAGTAGTATAAGGCTAATACCGAGCCTAGTTATTAGCTAATACTTTGCTCTCAACATAACCTTTATCTTCAACCTGGCAATAGTTAATATTACCAGAGTGAGAAAGGAGTCAAGTAGACTAGGTAGGGTTGTCTTGCCTATTGGTTTTTTTCTCGAAAAGACAATTCCTAGAGATATGACCTGGCTCACCACAGTTAAAACAAATAATCTTCAAATTTGGCAGTCGAGGTGGTCTTTCACAAATGGGTCAGGTATTCATGGTAATGGCCAATGTGGTGGTAAGTTTTTCATAACTAGCAGCCATCTGCCTTATCTTGTTAGTTAGGTCTTTTAACTCCTTCTCCATTCTTTGAACTAACTTAACTACCTTCTTTTCTTTATATAGTTACCCATTTCAAGGCTCCAGCTATTGTGATGGCATTATTAAGATTTTCCGGTTCCCTAAAGAAAAAAGTACCACAATGTTTCTCTTAAGCTCCTTTAAAAATATCCTTACAACGTATAGAGCCGGAATACCCTTTTTAGCGTCAACTTTGGACAATAAATGCTTAAATTTATAAGTATAGGAGTCTACACACTCATTATCTTCTTGCTTCAAATTATTCAAGTCCACTTGCTATTTATAATATTGCTTAGGAGTGGTGAATTACTCAATGAATTGCTTCTTGAAGCTGGCATCTAAATCTTTAGCATTATCCCAATAATGCAGATTATTTTTCTTCCTCTTAAATCAGTTGGCCACAATCTTAGACAAATAACCTGACGCAATCTTAATCTTATGTTCTTCTCCCCAATTATTCGCATCAGTAGCACATTCAAAGATCTCAATTCACTTAATTAGATCTTTGTTTTCTTCTCTCTTAAAAGGTTTAACCTAAACCCAATTGGTTTCTCTTTGTGAAGAGCCTTTGGTCATATCTTTAAATGTTTGGGCAATCTGCTTTAAGATTTCTCAAACATCTTCTAGCTCCAGTTGGTTTTCACCATCAGCCAGTACTTGAATGAAAATATCCAGAATCTCCTCATTAATTTTGTCCTCTTCAACATGATGATCTGCATTCTGAATCACAAGGTCTTCTATTATGCAATGAATAATATATACTTCCAAAAATAAAAATTATTTAGATAATTATATGAAACTTAGACTTAAAAGGTAATTATAAAGATGATGGGGTGCCGAATCTAACAGTTACCACCAAATTGTTATTGGGGAAAAGTGGTTTCTAAGAGTTTACGAAACTAACCAAACAAACTAACACAACTAAGATAACCTGTTAAAAGAGATGCTTAGATTTAGGCAAGTAGAGTGGTTCTAAGGCTTCAGTAAACTTATCCGATATTATGTGTTGATCATCTGATGCACAGATACTCGAATACTAAAACAAACCTGCAAGGAAAATGAATATTCACAATATGTTAGGATATAACTTCAAGAATTAGACAACAATAAAACAATCAGTACAATAATAGTACAGAGTACTTTGACTTAATAGAGTTATTTTAGTAAAGAGATAAACTTTGAGTAGCATAACAGGAACATTTAGAATAAACTGTTATAATGGTTAAAGGTTTAGTTAATCAAGAGTCACAATTAAAAATTAGAATAGATTTTACAAGAGATAATAAATAAGCTGAAGGGCGCTTCTTTAATTTTAAAAAATAATTATTTGTATTGTAAAAACAATAATACTTCAAAGATGCGAATCTACTCTTTATTTATAATGAAATAATACATATTTAAGAACTAATAATATTAATAATAACACCCACAATGCTTTTAATGTCCTTCTTGTCATTATTAATAGAATACTCTATACCACTAAAATTATCGGTATAGTTATTATTGCTATTTTCACGGTAAAATCGGGATCATCAACAATAGAGACACCAACAAAACTGATAGAACTGTCAGTACCGTGATTACTAGCACAGGACCCAAATAAATTAAAGATCAACAACACCAAAGTTGATGTAGCGATGACATCAATATATGATCAATAAAATTTGCCAGAAAGCAAATTTCCCAAATTACAATATATAATTAAGTAATATAATTTGAGGATCATATAATTTTTTATAATTTTATAATAAAATTATGAAAAATATAATGATCCTCAAAATCTTATTAATTAATTATATATTTATATTCTAAGTAAACTTGTTCTATGTATAAAAATATATAATATTAGTTATATTAATATTATATTTATAAAATTTAAGAAAAATATGCTTAATTTTGAATTATTGATCAAAATTAACAATATTTTTCTTAAAATTTAAAATTATAATACATTTCACCACTCGCATATATGGATGATACCGTTTGGCACTCTGAGAACCCTGAAGCTTTACAAAAAATTATTAACAATACATCTTCTCTATACAAACTTAATAACATTAAAATTAACTTATCCAAATCTGACTTACTTCATATTTCTTCCAAACTTCTAAAACATCAAACTATCCACTTTCTCTTGACAACCAAACAATTACTCCCAGAAAACCTACAGATATCTATTATGATGGTACAGACTCCTCCAAACCAACCTTAGACACAATATAACAAAATAAAAAATTTTCTATTGCTTATTAAATATAAAAAACTCTTACCCTCCCAAATTTCTTCCTTATTCAACCTCATATTCCAACCTTCTCTGGAATAATTATTACAAATTATACCTATTTACAAAAATATACAAACTAAACTTTCTAACAGAACTCTTCCCATAGATCACTTAACCAAATTAGGAACAAGAAGAAAAAGCTTTCCCATGACAATATCTCAAGATTTTACTAAGTAAACTGATACTCGGCTCCTAATTAAAGTTATTCAGCATCTCTACGTCTATTTAAAAGAGGTGTTTTTTTAAAAATGAGTGATACCCCAAAAAGATACAAGCAATAAACTCCAAAAAGAACCAAAAAGCCTTCTTTTCACCGCTTCGCAAAAGTGGTCTTCAGGACCACCCAAACTCGAATAATTCAAAACAAACAAATAGCTATACTCTAAACAAAAATTCAGTCAAACAAGATTTACTAGCCTCATCTGAACCCCAAGCTCACTCCAAAGATATGGCCTCTGATAGCCCCTCTTCCTACTTTGGAATTTTTTCTCTCTCGTGCAAACAAGCAGAAGCAAAAAATACTCCTACTAGCGACAAGCTTACAACCCCAAAATCTGAGCACACTAAAAAGTTTGTTAACATAACTATCAAAGACTGGTCAAAATTAGCTTTTGCTGTCAGCTTCTCTATTCCAGAGCAGTCTAACGACTTTCTCTTCTATACTGATATTACCAAATCTGGCAAGATCTCCAACTTGGTAGATTACCCTCCACAATGGATATGCAAACATGACGACCCTAACCAATCAGTCCTCTTCGATCTTACCTCGCACAAAAACAATATTATAAATATTAGTACCAAACAACCTAGAAATACCCGTAGCTGTGACCTGGCTACTATTACAAAAGCCTATGAAAATAGTATGAAACCTTATACTAAAGCTAAAAGCCTTTCAGATCTTATACTTATCTTGTACAACTCTATTGCGGAACTCGAATTCGATAATGAATCAAATAAAAGTATCAACGAAACAGTCCTACCTTACACCACCTCTAATATAAAACCAGCCTCTATAGATACCAGTAATACAAGCATGGACACAACATCTCAAGTTATTACACCAAACATGCAAATTACTACACCTGCACAGACTACACCCCCTCCAGGCCCCAGTACTACATTAACAACAACCACAACAATAACGGACACAAATACAACCCCCTATACAACAGTATACCATACAGCTATAGGTACACGATCTCACTTATCAACCTCTGTACTCCGACCATCTACACTTCCTAGTCAAATTACACCAAACCTTTTGTCTACTACCTAACGAAACCCACAACCCCTGCCCGAAGCCATCACTAACAGAAAGCGTGGCAGAAATATCTTCCCTCTTATTACTATCTCTAATAAATCTAATAAGACCTCTATGAGTAGTATTCCCATCTCAGTAGACTACAAACCAATAGTGCTACACTGAGTAACAAGCCTACATATAGCCAAATAGCAAAAACTAATCTTAGCCTTCTATCAATAGAAACACCAGATGATATGGAATGGGCAGCAATAGTCTACCAAAGAGCTACACCTACCAAAATACCCTTTGACTTAGAAACTTGATCATACGACTTCATTGCAGAGGTACTTAAAACACCAGAGGGAATTCACAAATTCATTAGCTACAAGCTTTCAGCAACTCATACCCAACATAAAATACCAGAAACAATCTCACTCAAATTTCTCCACTGTGATACCAGATTTTTTACTACATTTACATACAATCCCAAAACTACATCTGCACACCAGAAGGAATATACAAACCTCTTTAATAAAGCCCTCTCAACATATAAAAAAAAATATGAGATTACACTCACGAACCTTGACACTCGCAATACTATTACTACTATGTTAAAGAAAATGCTAATCTCACAGTACCTCACCAATATTGACTTTACTCACATTCCACATAGAAGAATCTACAAAATTATTCACTATGCTAGGGGCTTTTTACAAATCAAGAATACAGATGAGAACACATACAAAGAAATTACAGGACACATCAACAAAGCATTCGAAGACAAACTTATCTCACTCCCAAATTCTTCAGAGCAAATACTACCTGAGATTTATAATATGCTTTCTTTCCATCTCCCAATTACACTCTTATACTTTGCTAAGCTCCCTACACTTCCTAACCACTATAGAGAACTCCTACCAAGCCTACGTCAACTCTTCCCTATTTCCTACAGATCTGCACTCCAACACCTGGCTGCCTACAAAAGAAAACTCGCAGACTTCTATACAGTAACCCAAATTCCAGACACATACTTTGACCTACCACCTCCTAAAAAGCCTTTGCCAACCACCTACCAAGAGCTTAACCCCAGAGTTTGCAAGCTATTTCCATTCAACCAGGCAACATCATCAATCCTACTTACAAAGGTGGTAGCTCTACTCAAAGAGTACTATATATTTAAATTGCTATCTAATGACTACTTCGTATCCAAGCCTCCCCTGTCCATGGATCCCAAAAATATTAAAACCAACACAGAATTTATCTACCTAATTACAGATGATTCAATCGCAAAAGAGTTTATTAAGCAAGTCTCTGCAAAATACAGAATTAGGTTTCCTCTTCCACCTGAAATTATGCAAGCAAATCCCACTGACAAACCTAATCTCCCACCCGCCACACAAATTACAAAGGATTTTAATATTGATTTTCTAATTACAACACCCCAATAACTCACAGAGACAGCTAGACTCCTACGCAAATACTACTACTTCTCGCAACTCCTCACAGACTGGATTCAACTAAACAATGACAACACCCCAAATATAAAAAGTACAGACATCAACGTGAACACAAAGGCTCTACCTATTATCCCCAAAGATATAGAAGAGATTATCGAAATACTATCTAAGCAAGAGGTTATAGTCTCACTTCCAATCCAGAAATAGCAAGACATAGCCCCAACTATGAAAACTCTCAGACAATTCTACAAGATTTCAACTATTCCAGAAACCCTACTACAACTCCCACCCTTTCCTACCCCAAAATGAAACATTTTTAATAACATCTATATGCAAGATTTACCACCAACTCCTAGTATAGCTCAAAGCTTTGCATTGGCCCCAGAGACAGAAACTACAGAGCTGGTCTCTTCTACAAACACCCCAACTCTTCTTTTAGCCAAAACCACTAAATCTACCTTTACAGAAACAAATGACATACACCTATCTTGTAGCGATATCACCCTTCTACTGGATAACCCAACACCAATAGACACAAATGAGCACTCTCATGAGTAGACCAAACAACTCACGAAACTCAAACACCCTTCATCCCAATATTGCTCAAAACACACCACTTCACCTACTAACACTCTCTATTTGCACACACAATATACAAGGCTTTAACACAAGTACAAAGAAAGAAGCTTGGGAACACTACTATCTACAAGAAAATTTAGACATTGTTAGTATAACTGAAACCAAACTCTCTAGCAAATCTACCCCATACAAACAACACAAAACCAAACACTTCACCTACCTCTGGTCATGTACATACAGTTCCAAAGCTGAAACAGCTATTATGATCTGCAACACTCTTACTCCACATATCCATAACATCACTACAGTACCAGGATATGCAATAGCAA